GCACTTCCGTTTTGTAGGCACCGGCTTACGTTGCGTTGTGGAGGCATTCACCTTGTTTACTGCCATAAGAATAATAGCTGAAAAACTATCCACCTTCAAAAAAACGCCATTATATTCGTTCCTTAATGGCATGGACTAGTCTTCCATTCTGAACCCTGACGTGGTCATTGAAATGGTGGCTAGCTAGAAGTTCGAGTTCCTTAAACTAAGTAGTCTTCTATCTAATTGTTAGAAGGGTTTACTTGGCTTCCGGATAGTATGTTGCGGTGACATTCCTAGACTGTAAACCTGAATACTTTTATTGCACTTTCCTCCAAGTAACCGGCTACCTGTCATGACTGGCCGAATGTAAACTTGTAGGTACACTGGTTTTACTGCAGTTGACTAGGTTGTAGGCGCCAGTACATTCTACATTTGTAGTCGCACATGAGATTCTTTTAGGTCTGGTGATTTCTGCCTTCCAGTTCCACTCTGTTGGAGACCGGACTTTTGCAGGATCCGTTCACACACCTTTGGCGTAATACGTGTGCATTTCCAGGCGTTCTTTTAAAGATATGTCCACCGAATTCAGCGCGAGTACAAAGTTTCTGAATATTTATTACGATACCCATACTATTTATTACTTGTGTCTTGCTTCATCTAGGACAAAGTTCTACGAATTCGACCTACGCCCAGTCTGCAAATCCTGCTACGAAATGTTTCCGATTGAACTTCGGAAAAGAATAGCCAAAATGCATAAAATGGAGTGAAAAAAAATGACTGCTACCGCCCGTCGTCGCATTCTCCCCCCCCCTGGTGTCGCGCTTCTTGGTTCATTTTCTGCTTCTGCCATGCCCCCCTTATTTGATTGTGGTCTGAGACGGTTTTCCCCCTCCCCCCACTAACCTTCATTCTAAATCAACTTCTGCTCCTTGCTGGCACCAACCAAGTCACAATCAACACTGGGTTGCGGACCCCTCCTCCCCCTCCCCTTTTGTTCTTATCTTCAACTCCTGGAACGCCTTTTTTAATGACAAAATATTTTAGTCTTTGATATCAACAGGCCGGCCGATTTTTTACAGCCTGTTCCGGCCGCCGTGCTTTTCGAGACCCCCCTCTACTTTGATTTCGTTTATTGCGACCCCGCCAACGACGTAATATAACCTTTTGCCTGCTTCCGACGTTGCGTTTTGTGGGAAGGTGGTTGGCCTACCTCATGAAATGTCAACTGACATTCTGATATGCCTCTTCGATTAGAAGGGATTAGTTAGCTGGGGTGTAGCGCCCTCCACTCGCAGGGTATGTTCTGATTTTGAAGCAGTTCCTTCGTGCGTCTTCAGTATAATCTCAGAGCTAAAAAGGCTCACGGTGGAGGTTCTCAGCGTAATCCACATTACTATCACCCATATTTCTGATGAGGAATAAAGCAGTGAGAGAGATAGGAATGGTTTATTGTCTATACAGACGGAGAAAGGGGGACCGGGGTATACAGTGCTGGAAAGTGGTTAAGGGGAAATCTCACGGACAATACGGTCCGGAATCGTAGGCTGACAGTCCAAAGGGAGTGTAGAGCTGGAGGCCACAAAAGGACCACAAGAAAAGCACACTTTACGACTTTCTGAATAACCGGATCCAGACCACTTTAGTAAAACACAGGAAAATGGTTGTGCCAATTCAGTTCAGCTGTATTACAGTGGGATGAAAGTCTGTTGGTGAAGATGCCATGTTCATTTTCATTCCGTTCGCTGACAATGCTCCTCTCCTAACATGTAATTTCGTCGCCTGCTTACGGTCAGCACCCAAATGGCCTTCACCTGGAGTTGCCCTGAATGCTGCACTCCCCACCGTTATCTAACTCATGTTCTGGAATCAGCACTCACTAAAAAAGGATCGATTGTACAGTCCCTTGGTAACCCTTCCTGTCGCCTCTTTTCCTTTTTTTCCTGCTAACCAATTCATTTTTTATCAGCAAATCTTATATTTACCATCTCGTTATTCTTCTATAGAATAGCAGCTTGTAGAAATGTTGCTATATTCTCGAAGTAGCAGTTTAAACCACCTGTTTGGATTAGTACCTTGTATATTTTTTTCGAGGGCCTGAATATGCCATCCTTTGGTCGGTAAATCAGAAGTATCGAACAAAGCGTTTCAGCAAGCCTCCATTGACTGCAGGCAATGGATGCATCATTGTGAACTGCCAGTCAATGGAGGTTCGCTGAAACGCTTTGTTCGATACTTCTGGTTTACCGACCAAAATATAACATATTGAGGAGCGCGTACCAATGTTAAATAGAATTTGTCACCATTTATAACGAGAAAAGAGCGTTTTTTGTTCGAGTAT